TCTGTCTGTCTATCTATCTATCTGTCTGTCTGCTATATATCTGTCTATCTATCTGTCTGTCTGTCTGTCTGTCTGCTATCTATCTGTCTGTCTCCTATCTATCTGTCTGTCTGCTATCTATCTATCTGTCTGTCTATCTATCTATCTGTCTGTCTGTCTGCTATCTATCTGTGTCTATCTATCTGTCTGTCTGCTATCTATCTGTCTGTCTGTCTTGTCTCCTATCTATCTGTCTGTCTGCTATCTATCTGTCTGTCTGATATCTATCTGTCTGTCTGTCTGTCTATCTATCTATCTGTCTGTCTGCTATATATCTGTCTGTCTCCTATCTATCTTTCTGTCTGCTATCTATCTGTCTGTCTGTCTGTCTATCTATCTATCTGTCTGTCTGCTATATATCTGTCTGTCTGTCTGCTATCTATCTGTCTGTCTATCTATCTATCTGTCTGTCTGTCTGTCTGCTATCTGTCTGTCTGTCTATCTGCTATCTGTCTGTCTGTCTGTCTGTCTCTGCTATCTATCTGTCTGTCTGCTATCTATCTGTCTGTCTGTCTGCTATCTGTCTGTCTGTCTGGTCTGTCTGCTTATCTGTCTGTCTTGTCTGTCTGTCATCTATCTGTCTATCTGTCTGTCTGTCTGCTATCTATCTGTCTGTCTGTCTGTTATCTGTCTGCTATCTATCTATCTATCTATCTATCTGTCTGTCTGTCTGCTATCTATCTGTCTGTCTATCTATCTTGTGTTATCTATCTATCTATATATCTATCTATCTGTCTGTCTCTGTCATCTATCTATCTGTCTGTCTGCTATATATCTGTCTGTCTGTCTGCTATCTATCTGTCTGTCTATCTATCTATCTGTCTGTCTGTCTGTCTGCTATCTATCTATCTAACTCTCTATCTATCTGTCTGTCTGTCTGTCTGCTATATATCTATCTGTCTGTCTGTCTGTCTGTCTGCTATCTATCTATCTGTCTGTCTATCTGTCTGTCTGCTATATATCTATCTGTCTGTCTGTCTGTCTGCTATCTATCTATCTGTCTGTCTATCTGTCTGTCTGCTATATATCTATCTGTCTGTATCTATCTATCTATCTATCTATCTATCTGTGTCTGTCTGTCTGTCTGTCTGGCTGTCTGTCTATCTATCTATCTGTCTGTCTATCTGTCTCCTATCTATCTTTCTGTCTGCTATCTATCTGTCTGTCTGCTATCTATCTGTCTGTCTGTCTGTCTGCTATCTGTCTATCTGATTTGATGTATGCTTGTCTTCTGCAGGTTATTTCTGCTCGTCTGTCTCAGGGTGAGCAGAGGAAGAGAGAGAGTGAGAGACACAGACAGCCGTCTATCTTTCTCTCTCTCTCTCTCTCTTCACCTGCGTCTGCAGCAGCAGCGTCTCTGTAAGGCTCTGGTCTCTGTGGCGCAGCTTCTGTCCAAACCATGACGTCACCCCCGTCCCTGCTGGCCTCCCCATCCCCGTGTCCTCCTCCCCCTCCCTCGCTCCCGTCCTCCCCCACGCTCTCCTCTCCCGCCCCGTCCTCGCTCCCCCTGCAGCCCGCTCTGCCGCCCACCGGAGAGGTCATGATTCTGGCTCTGGGCCGTAAGAAGCAGCGGCTCCTCCTCGCTCT